ATGATGTCACATTGTTACCATGGCCACCAAGATCTTCCGACTTATCCCCAATTGAGCACGTGTGGCATATGATGGGTAGGAGATTGCTCAATTTGCAACGTCCTCCTCAGACTCTAGAAGCACTTCGAGAGGAGTTGGTGGTTGCCTGGAATGAGATACCACAGGAGGACATTGACCACCTGATCAGAAGCATGCCTAGACGCGTTGGAGAATGCGTAGCACATCAGGGTGCATCCACATATTATTAAAGGTCAAAGGGCTTTAAAGCAGTGCAATCATTTTGAAATTTTGATCATTTGCTTATTATGCTTCATTAAGTACTTATACAAAATTTTATTAAAATAAAACCATTTAAACTGGGTGTTCGGATTTATATGTCACTTAGTATAATATCTAACCAAATAATTTGTAATTACGAAGTATAACCTCACATTTTGTTCAAGTAAAAGTTATAAATGTCAAGACAGGACAGATCGACAGACAAACTGAAATGAGTGATATGTTTTTCGTCATGTCTGATTTTCGAAATTTTTCAGGATTACAAAACATTCTCAACAGTGTGGCGAGTAAGCAAAGTAAAAAATTACGTAAACAACTGAAAAGAAGTATATAAAAAAAGAAATTGTCGTGAAAGATAGAAATTGTTTTCGTACTCGGTGAGGTCTGAATAGCGCCATCGAAGACCTACAAGTCTCGTTTAGGGTCAATGTAACACCGGTTATTTATTTTAGATTACGAGCTGTGATCCGTATAACAGGTTTCATGTCGCCATTCCGTCAAAATTAATCTCTCACAAAATTATATGTCTAGTGTTACGTCGAGACGAAGATATAAGTAATATCTCCTCCAAAGTACCTACATTTTATATAATAAATCACCGATATACCCATAGTTGTGTAACTTTGTTCTATTCGATTATATTTTATTAATATGGTGTTTAGATTTTTCTATTTTAGACATCGAGTGAGAATATTAAGCGTGTTTCCATCCTAATAACTTGCGCCATATAAAAAACAGAGTAGAACTTCTCGCCTGCAAGCAATATTAGCGGTCATTGGGAAGATCCTCCCAGGTCTCTTCTACCGCTATGTAGGGAGTTTTCCTAGCTCTACTAACTTGAGCAGTTCAAAAATCTTGTTTATGCCCCTCTGAGCTGGTCCGGTGCCCTGGCACTTAGGCTTCTCCTTCGGTGTAAAGAAATGCTATCGCTCTATAATGAGCTCCACAGGGCCATTCTGATTCTGATTCTGTCGAACTTCGTGTTGTCAAAGGTAATTGCCAAAATTATGTATAAGCCTAGCAAAGCGAAAGACATGATCTGTATAATCACACCTTCAGACATGTTAAGTTAACTGCCTTAAAGCATTTAAACTTTGAGGTTGTTCAAAGATTCCACGAAGGAATATCAAGGAAGTCAATGTTCCTTGGCATGTTCATAATAGGGATACTTATCCGGACTTGAATTTGAATCGCGTTACACTGTTCAGGCACTTGATGCCTATATTAATTAGGTATCTTCAGGTAGAAGATACCCGATCAAAACAGGCGTTAGAGAGTCCGAAATTGGGTTGATTACTATGAAACCATCTATGAAACAATATCAGAACCAGTCACTCTAATTCTCTTCAAAGTAGATTTCCTATTTGATTTTTGTCTTCTGCTTTCTTTCGCGTCCCTTTTTGGGCATCGGAATACTAGGGTTGGTTATTTTCAGGCTGAGTAAGTGAACCAAAGCCATTGTCCTACAGGATATTTGTCCCTGATTAGGGTCAAGTGGTGCAAAAATGAGACAGCCGAAATTTCGGTCAAAAACGAGACATTCAATTTTTCCCAATGCAAAAAACAATAACATTGTAAAAAATACGTTACAAATTACTTCCACATATATACAATATGAAATATGTATATGAACACAAACATGAGAAAAAAACTATCGCATCTGATTGTGCATTTTGCTTAAAAAATCTATTAAATTGTATTTACAAACATTTCCTGTTGCGCGGCTGTACGTGATCGTAGAGACTCGGCAAGCATCGCGTTTTCAAAATCACAAATGCGGCTATGATATTCCATATCGAATTTAGTCTACTTTGATTTGTTGGAAAGCAGGCACGTCGTGAATAACAGGTGCAAAAACGAGACACCACAAAGTTTAAAAACAAGACACCTGCCAGGTAAAAAACAAGACAGCTTTTATACCTTTGACAATAATGCCGAAGGTCTACGTTCCCAAAAAGCGCCCCTACGACAAAAAGAACATGGAAACAGCCCTAAAACTAATAGATAATGGCACTTTATCTCTTAGAAATGCAGCTAAACAGTTTAAAATTGACAAATCTGCTCTTGCGAGAAGACGTACTCGTTCACTTGGTAAACAGGGAAGAAAAACTTCTCTAACCAAAGAAATGGAAGTAGAGTCAAGTGATAAGATAAAAATTATGGCAAAATGGGGGTTTGCTCTCACTAAACCAGAGATACAAGCAATTAAGGAAGGAAAGCCCGGGAAAGATTGGTTTAAAAATGTTTGTAAGCGCAATAGACTAACTCAAAAAAACGCAAAAAACGCAAGTTTACTACGTGGCCCAAAGTGTTTGAGAGCGATGTAGAAGTAAAATATCCGAGGTGCAAAGGCTTTAAATTTATTTTTCCGGCCATTGAGGAAAAGTACTTCATCGACAAAAGTGACACAGAAATGAAACTTCCCCAGCCAGAAATAGAAAGTAAGACCTGTCGTATCTCTCAGCAATATTGGTTTCCTATCGACTTTGAAAAATACGTCGTTCAATAATATGTAGTACAAAATACGTTAGAATAATAAGTTTTCTACTTTAGCTCTTAAAATCCTATTGAAAATCTTGTTTTACCCCTTTTTTGAATTAGGTATGTTTTATTTAACTTGTTTTTGGATTTGTTTTCTTTTTAGAAGAAAAACGTTGTCACAATTTAAAACCTAACTATACTAAGTGACATATAAATCCGAACACCCAGTTTAAATGGTTTTATTTCAATAAAATTTTGTATAAGTACTCAATGAAGCATAATAAGTAAATGATAAAAATTTCAAAATGATTGCACTGCTTTAAAGCCCTTTGACCTTTAATAATGTGTGGATGCACCCTGATGTGCTACGCATTCTCCAACGCGCCTAGGCATGCTTCTGATCAGGTGGTCAATGTCCTCCTGTGGTATCTCATTCCAGGCAACCACCAACTCCTCTCGAAGTGCTTCTAGAGTCTGAGGAGGATGTTGCAAATTGAGCAATCTCCTACCCATCATATCCCACACGTGCTCAATTGGGGATAAGTCGAGAGATCTTGGTGGCCATGGTAACAATGTGACATCATTATGTTGAAAGAAGTCTATTGTGACTCTTGCAACATGTGGTCGGGCATTATCTTGTTGGAAAGTTGGATCTGCCAGGGTGTCAAGATAGGGTAAAAGATGGGGTTCTAGAACTTCGTGGATATAACGCTGCGCGTTCATGTTACCTCTGATGAAGATTAAAGGTGACCTGGAACCATAAGCTATAGCACCCCAAACCATAACTCCAACAGTGTGATGAACATGTCTTTCAACAAAAAACTGTGGACTCCTCCTTTCACCACGTCGCCTTCTAACCCTGGCACGACCATCGTGCATGCCTAAACCAAATCGAGACTCGTCACTAAAGACAATACTGTTCCATTCCTGATCCCAGAGTGACCATTGTCTGCACCACTCAAGGCGATTACGTCGGTGTTCTCGAGTTAAAGGTAGGACCCAGTGTGGCCGGTATGAAAACAAGCCAAAACTTCTCATTCGTCGGTAAACACTTCGCATGCCAATAGGTCTTCCGTGTTCTGCAAACCATTCATTTGCAATGGACCTGGTAGTGGAGAAACGGTCCCTTAAGGCCAATAATCTTAGGCGGCGATCTTCACGGTCTGTTGTTCTACGGCGGCGTCCAGTGCCCCTTGCTCTTTGCGTACGGCCTTCTCGAAGTCATGCCTGACAACACCTAACCACAGTGTCTACACTCTTTTGCACTCTAACTGCAATTGCCCGAAAAGAAGGTCCAGCTTCCCGAAGTCCCACTATACGGCCCCTATCAAACTCACTAAGTTGACGAAATCGTACAGGTCTCCGTACTCTAGGCATCGTAACCGATCGTAAAGGATGTCAAGAACCAAAATCCGCCAACGTTGATTCTTTACTGCGGCTGAAATATTCATTTTTAGAGCGTTAGTGAATTAAAAAAAAGCAGTATAAAAACCGGAATGTGCAACTGAAAAGGCTGAAAATTTTTTCACTTCTTATTTACAGTAAGATAAATACATTCACCAACTTTTATTAAAATAAAACCATTTAAACTGGGTGTTCGGATTTATATGTCACTTACTATATGTTATTTGACTTACTAAACGCTTTAAAACCCTTGCAGTGTGTCTAGTTTTTATTCCCCAGGGTCTCATATTTTGCCACACTGATGTAAAATGACTAAAAGGCCAGAAAATACAGTGTCTTGTTTTCAACCTCTCACTGTCTCATTTTTAGCCTAAATAGTGGTTAAAAACGAGACACGGTTTTTTAACAAAAACGCCCTTCGTTATGAATATTATGAACTTTTTTTAACGTGAGATATACTAAATGGCTTTCTATATACAGGGCAATATAACAAAGCCTTAAAGTCCGGTTTAAGATTTAAAAATCGTCTCGTTTTTACACCACTTGACCCTATAGCTAGGTAAATAACACTGTTAGGCCTGATACCCTGATACAACTCGGGAGATCTAGAAAATTTCAGTTTTGCAGTCCACAGTGAAAATAAATGATTGTTTCCCATTGTTGCAGGTGAATCGTCCTCTGACGATGAAGAAAGAGGGCATTCAGACGCGGAATCGCAAGCTGTCGTCGAAGAGCAAGAAGAAGAAATCGCCGGGCGGCTGCCTCTCATTGGGCGGCATGATGGGTGACATGATGAAGCCGTTGGATGGAGGAGGAAAAGGCGGATTCGGGGGCGGATTTGGTGGCGGTATGGGCGGCACTCATCCGCATCTCAACGCTGCCTTGCATCCGCATCACGCGATGAGTCATTGGTAAGTTAGTCATTGATTTGCGTCACTATCATCGATTGGATATCGATACTGTGATAATTTTTAACAGTTTCTATACTGTTTCCATGATTATCCAAGCAACCATTAAAACCTCTTAGCAAAAAATGGTGGCGCTTACATATCATGAAATGTGTAATGTATGTAAAAATATACGTCGAGTCTGTTTAGGGAAATCAAATGGCTTAGAAACTTTAATAGTAAATACAGTACATAGGTGTTTTCAGTTAAATAAATCTTAGAACTCTAAATATGATGACTATAGTAAACAAATTTATTCACAATTACAACTAGTAATTACAGTAAATGATTTAAGTAATAAATGTACGAGCCCCTTCCCACTTCAGTTGGCCCAACTATTGAAATCTTAGTTTTTTTCTTATCAAACACAAATAATAAAAAGGTAGGAGGGTGTTATAGGTTATTATCAACATACAGAAGAAACTGATATAAGCGAAGAATACATTTGGAAAAGTACAGTGCCCAAAACTGAACCTTGTGGAACACCACAACTAATGTCACGTACACAAGATGTACCTTTAGATGTTTCCACAAATTGGCAACTATTGGATAAATAACTAACTAATAAAATGTCATGTAGAAAATAAAATTTGATGATTTATAGGATTAAATGCTTTAACTGTAGTCTAGAAGAACTAGAGCTGATGATAGAATTTTATCTGTTACACCTAGTAGCACAGTGGTATAAATGAAACCTTTCCGGAATCGTGACTGGTATCGTGGCAGTATGATGAATTTTTTTGCGAGCTTAGCTATTATTTTTTCTAGAACCTACCGGTAAAATTGAAATAGGTCTCAGATGAGATCTTGGGAATTGGAATAACTTTTGAAGTGTTCCATGCATAAAGGAAACAGTTTCTAGTAGATACGAGTTCATCAGGCGATATACCTACAGTATATTCAGATAAGAGATAGACCGGACATAAACAAGACCACGTGATGATCGAACGCTGTAACATTCGGCAGGGACGTATTAAGAGTCACGCAGTACATATTTTAGATAGTAGATGCTGCTTTGCGTAACTTTGTAGTAAATTAGCACAATTCGATGTGTATACGATTGGTGATGGATATAGGATCATGTGGGGGTGGGGTAAGAAATATATAATGCTGTAAATATACATAAGGGTTTCAAAATTTTCGCTTCGATTTCCAGCTTCGGATGCCGCCTGATGTTTGGTGAAATACAGTCGAATATAATCTCAAAATGGCGTTTAAATTAGCCTAAATTAAAAATAATCGTATATCTCCTAAAATTGCTTTTAGAATATTGATTAGTATATTTTTTGATTTCTAGGTAAATATGTAACCAAATTAAAACGTTCAAAACGTAAAAAAATGTGCATGGTTGAACATTGTCAGAAAGTAGATTCTTGAATAGGTTTTGCCAAAATGGGTTCAAAAATGTCAATAATTAATTAAAAAATACAGTAGCTTTATAATTACTTATAACTTACCGAATTTGATGAACGACATCTTTTATTGGAAAGATGAGCTTGATGAGCTTTCATCATCGCTACTGCCTGAAGCACCAACGTCAATAATGAATGGCTCGACTTGTTCCTCTAAAATATTGTCCAGTTCCCACATTCTCTTTTCAACTTTGTCTTTCACGTGCCTAATACAGTTTTCCCATTTTTGCGCTGTTATTAATTCTAGTGCATCTTTGAAAAGTCCTTTGAGGTCACAAAATTTAAAAGTTGTATTGTGCTTAGCTATATAATTTTTAACCTCTGCCCGTATGAGCTCAATGGGATTGAGCTCGCAATGGTATGGAGGTAAACGGAGCACAGTTTTATTTTGACTTGCTGCCATTTCGTCAATGGCGTATTTTTGATATTCCGCCTTGTGATCATTGACAATTCTTAATAATTGTACTTTCAGCATTGCTTCTTCAAAGTTGATATTTTTCGAGCGGAGCCAATTTTGAACATCAACTTTCCTTGAAGCCGTTGTTGGGACCTTCTCCATTCTTCGAGAATGATAAGGCGCATTATCCAACACAATTACTGCGTTTTTCTCTAAGTTCGGTAAAATTTTTGAAAACCACTGTTCAAACGATTCGCCATTCATTTCCTCGTGGTAATCTCCAGTTTTCTTAGACTCAAAGCACCACAGACCAGCAACAACAAATCCATCCTCACTGCCAATATGGCAGATAATGAGCCTTTTCCCTTTACCTGGAAATCGAAGTACTAACTGGTGTAGATTTATTTCAATAAGCGAACCTTTTTCAAATGTTTTCATCACATTCAGCGAAAAAACATTGAGACATGAGTATCAGATTGCTATAATTGGGATTATTTAGTCATATTGAAAGAAAGAATATTGAACGTCGTATGATTACTCAGCGCTTCACAATTTAATTTAAAGTTATAAACCTTTAAAAAATGAATGAACCTGAAATACGCGCAAATATTAATATTAACAAATTATAACTTTATAAAGCTTAAAGTATGAATTAAAATGATTAAAAATATTAGGAACGGTACACAATATAAAACTTAGTAACTTTTTTTAAGTTTATAATATTCGACATATTTTAAGATTATATTAAAAAATTATTGAAATATCGAAAACACATAAAAACATGGCTTAAAAAAGTTCTAACAAATGAAAATGACAATAAAACATCCACGCATTTTATCGAAAGTTATAAAAGTTTTGTTACTTGTAATATGTTTTATCTGCCCCCTGGAATTAATGTTTAGAACCTTGTTCCCAAGGTTTGAAACATCCGATTGTTGTCTATTACTCGTATTTACCTGCTGGATTTTTTAATCCGGTGGACAGTCCATCTAGAAAAGCCCTCCTGGATGAAGTTACAGAATCATCAACCCATACTTTACTTGTAGTGTGTCCTGCATTTACCCACGTTTCACCAAGGTAATAAATCTTCCTGTTTTGATTTCTATATTTCCCAATTTTTGTTAAATAATCCCTCCTCCATAGCACAATTTCTTCTCTATCCAGTAGTAAGCTATTACGACCCCGTTTTTTCCATTTGAAATTTAAATGCTTCAGTAACGCATGGAAAGTTGATCGTTTGAAATTTGGCAACGTTGTATCTCCATTTACCTCCTGCAGTACTTTATCTATAGTAGGTATTTCATTCCTAAAGAAGAATTCATGCACTTTCCTCCTAATCGCATGCTTATCAGCTTCATCCAATGATTTAACAATACTTTTGCGATGTTTACTGGTCATTGGCTCAGAAAAGGTGTGATTTTTTTTGTATTGTCTTAACACATTAAACACTGATGCGCGACACACCCCAACTTTGTGAGAAACCTTCACAACAATTTTTTGGATTTTTGATGCCTCGTTCTCCTCGCGTTCGGTCTTATATATATTCAAAATGACCTCTTTCATTTCTGCACTCAGGTGACTGTTTTTAGAGCGTTTCCTAGGTGGACTACAGGAGTTTACAACTTCATCGGCAGTATCTGTACTACTGGGCATTTTGCGCAAGCAGTTGATAACAATAACAATCAATAACAAGGTATAACAATAACAACGACAAACTCAACAACTTAATAAGATAACAAACGAAAACGTCCAAAGAAATATCAAATTGCAATGATGCACACGACATACGTAACACGTCTTAACCTGAATGTGACTCTGCCTTGATACGCTGCTCTGTCGCTCGGCATAGGCATTTAATTGCGAATTGACCAATGAGGGCGCCTGTTTTACATCGAGACGGCGGCGTTAGCGTGAAAATCAGGCGAACCTTTTGTTTACATCCGGTCTATCTCTTATCTGAATATACTGTACTCGTATATGGACAGCGCAAAAGTAACATTTTAACGCTAATCTGATCAATACCAACAGCATTTGTCGTCACTTTTAAATATTCAAGCACATTTTCTTCAGTTACCAAGTAAAATTAAAACAGTTAAGGAAATTCACAAAAACAGTTGTTGGTATAAAAATTTAGTTTATAATTGACAGGATAAATTGAGAGCAGTTAGGACGTGATCATTAATTTTACACGGATCATTTAATTCATCGGAAATGCTGCCTTCATTTTCAAATTTTTCACAAATATCCAAAAGTCTATAGTCTATAGTCTTCTATAGTTTTGGTCGTTTTGAACACAGAAGCTAAAATAAGAAAATGAGATGTTTTCTCTTTTCTTATTGTGGTAGCAGTTAGGTCCTTTAGCTCTTTGTAAGATTTCACTGGACAACAAATTTTAGTTTTTTAATTGTATCTTGTGGGAAAAGTGCACTTGTTTGTTAATTTTGGGGCGCTGAATCCAAAAATGACAATGAAATAAAAAAATTAGTTGCGGCTTAGGAAAAAAAGTTTTTATTTTTAAGGATATATTAAAAAAAGTAACAAGATTCATATACTTATAAGAATCACTATATGCGCTGTCTTTTTGCTGTTCTTTTATGGATCGTTTCTGGAGCATCTGTACCAAGAGTCCAACAGTAGTCCTGGTGTGAGTGTAGGAAATGTATCTTAAGAGACATATTACAGCCCATCTTTTGATACGATGACAGCATATTTTTGACAAGGGTTTTATAGTTGTCAGCTTTTCTATTTCCCAAGAAATTAGTGACCACCAGACGGAAATCATTCCAAGCAGCTTTTTCAATACCTGTTAAAGTGTTTTCAAACTGTGTATCTTTCAAAATATTTCGAATCTGTGGCCCAACAAAAATACCTTCTTTAACCTTTGCCTCACTTAGTCTTGGAAATTTCTGACGCAGGTATTGAAAAGCTGACCCATCTCTATCTAATGCCTTGACAAAGTTTTTCATTAGGCCCAACTTGATATGCAGTGGTGGTAATAAAATTTTTTTCGAATCTACTAATGGCATATGCTGTACATTTTTTTGACCTGGCTCTAGGAATTGACGAACAAGCCAGTTTTGTCTGGTGTAATGAAGTGCCTTTGCCCGACTGTCCCATTTACACAAAAAACAGCAAAACTTTGTGTAGCCTAGCTGCAGCCCAAGTAAAAGTGCAACAACTTTCAAATCGCCACAAATATGCCATTGGTGCTCATCGTATTTTATGCATGTCAATAGGTACTTCATATTGTCATATGATTCTTTCATGTGAACTGCATACCCTACAGGAAGAGATGGTAAAATATTTCCAATATGCAATAACACTGCCTTTAAACTCAATGTTGAACTGTCTATAAACAATCTCCATTCTTGTGGGTTATAGTTTATATTTAAAGCCGCCAGTAAGCCGTTAATGTTACTGCAGAAAACCAAGTTATTCTCCATATTGAAAAATGATTCTAAATCTTTGTGGCGTTTACGAAAAACACATACCGAAACATCGTCTTCTAACAAGTTCCACTGCTGCAGTCTTGATCCAAGTAACTCTGCCTTACATTTTGGAAGTTCTAAATCTCTTACAAGATCATTTAATTCTGACTGTGTTATTTTGTGCGGTTGGTGGCATGACGTGCTCGTTATAAAATCAGGATCTCTTGACGTTGATGGCATATCTTCTTCCTGACGAATCACTCGATCGCCATGATCTGATTCGTTTTCTGATTCGCAAGTGTAGGATTCTGGGGGTTTTGGAATAGGATTTTCGTCACTGTGAGGCACAAGTCTCATCGCAGATGGTATGTTTGGGTAGTTAACCGATTTTTTTTTCTTGGACATACCTGTGGCTTGTCCAACACAAGGTACCATGCAAAAGTAACAATCATTAATATGATTTGTAGGCTCTCTCCAAACCATTGGGACAGCAAAGCGCATAGACCGTTTTTTGCCATTTAACCAGCTCCTCAGACTTGAAGCACATGTATTACAGCAGATGTGGAGTGCCCACTGTTTGTCTTGATCACCTAGTTTACAACCGAAATAAAGCTGATATGCCTTTGTTATTAGTGGAGTAATAGACCGTCTCTAAGACGCAAAAGTCACATCACCACACACGTAACAAAACTGATCTGGATTGTTTACACACTTTCGAGACATCTTGCATGAACGCTGTCAGCCAACTGAGGAAAAAATGGCTAATATAAAACAATATAATGTACACGTATGTATAACGTAACTCAATCATGCCGATTACATCATCTTTCCTTGCCGAATATAAAAATGTAGCACGTGCATTCTTGTGAATTACAGTATATTAACACTGTCACAGCAGGAACACATATAATTACCGTATCTCTGAAACTTGAACTAATATTGAAAAAATAAGTTTCATTCCGGTTTTAGCACATTAAAAATAGTAATATTTTGTTGATTTTATTTAGGATATTTTTTGGCTGTTGATCAGTCTTTGTTTTCCAGTAGACCTGACCTTAAAAAGAGCTCTATTACACATTCCCATCATTAGTAAAATCGTTTCAATAATCCATGGAGCTTACTATATGTGGCATGACGTCAAAAAGATTGATAATGATTTCAACAGGATACCTTTTCATCAATGTTGTTCATGAATAAGGTATCTTCAAAAGGTGACATCTGTCATAAAGCAAGAAGTGAATCACGGTGGATGTTTTTAAAATATGCATCATACATTAGATGAGTGCACATTGATAACAGAAATACTGATAGTGAAAATGCAACCATTACCATCTAAAACACTCAAAGTCCAATATAAATGAATGATATAGTAACTCCATATCAAAATATTCCAGTCACCAACGTGCAATGCACATATTTTTGGAATTTTTGATTTTTGTAATGGTGCAATTTTCCAAGACATCTTGCAACTTTTGTCTATTCAAAACTATACTATTCTAAAACAGACGCTGTGATTTTGAGACGTGTTTCTTTTGTTCCAGGTATCACAACCAACACCCTCAAGGCTTCGTGTCAGCTGGACCGCCTCCCCCCGCACCGCCCCCTGCCGCTTCATATCACCACCATATGAGCTCGCTCAGTGCTGCCGGTCTCGGTCTCACGTCAAACGGAATGGTGAGTTTTTTTTTATTTTTTTTTTTTTTTTACGCACCATACCATAGCACGAGGTACGGCGTGTGTGGGGCTCCAGGGTCTTGAGGAGATCACCTAATACCCACTAAACCCTAAACCTCCGCGTGGCCCGACTCATCAGCGTCTCGGTAGGCCATGTGTTGTGCGTGACCTGCGGTCTGCTACAACGTCTCCTCATGTGTTTCAGTCTCTGGGAACGCCGGGTTGGTTCCCTTTACCTCGCACATTCTATCGATGTCGTTAAGCGATCATCGATAGAGGGTCTGCTAGTCTCTCTTGAAACTCTTGTTTTCGAAAAATCAAGAGTTTCAAGTCCTCTTACCAATATGCTGTTCCTGGTCCTGGTCCTGAAGGGTCCTGGTCCTGGTGGGTCCTGGTCGTGGCGGGTCCTGGTCCTGGTTGGTCCTGGTCCCGGTGGTTCCTGGTCCTGCATCCACGCCGTGGGGGGGGGGGGGGAGCAACCGCGAGTTCTCCTAGTCTCCTAGTCGAGGTTCCAGTTAGCGGGTGCCAGCTGGGACCTCGGTCTGGGGTACCTGGTTCTGCGGTTGCGAGGCCTCTCGTCCGGATCGTAGTCCATGAGGAATCGTAGCTGCTCGTTCGGGTGGTCCTGAGCTTTCTCGAAGGTCTTCTCCGCTTTTTTCCTCATGTACTCGTGGATGGTGTCCCAATGCAGGTCTCTACGCAAGGTTGAGTTTCTTACGTAGGATGGTGCACTGATGGCGATCCGGAGTAGCTTCATCTCTAGAGCAGCAAGTCGCTTGCGGTAGCTGGGGGCAGCGTACCCCCAGACCGCGGAGGCGTAAGCTAGCTGAGGTCTGGCGATGGCCTTGATCAGCCGTAGCTTGGTCGCTAGCGGCATCCGGCTGTGTCTACCCAGTAATGGGTAGAGTTGAGCCATGGCTGCTCTGGTCTTTGCGATGACAGCTTCTATGTGGGCTTTCCAGGTGAGGGACTTGTCAAAAACGATCCCCAGATATTTGACTTTGTCGCTCCACTGGATATCTTCGTCGAAGATGGATGCTTCGAGAGGTCTTGCAATCCTTCTTCGTTGAATGAAGATTGCCTGCGTCTTCTGGACGTTGATGCGGATTTTCCATTTCACGCACCAGTCCTGAATGTGGTCCAGTTCATCCTGTAGTCTCCTACGGATGATCTCGGGTCGTCTATGCTTGGCGGCTATAGCAGTGTCGTCTGCATATAGGGCCAGCATTGTGTCAGCTGTCTTCGGCACATCGTAAGTATAGATGTTGTAGAGCAGGAGGGCTAAGGCTGACCCCTGGGGCACGCCTGCTTCCAGCTGTCGTCTTGTTGAATGGCATGTACCAATCTTCACCGTGAACCATCTTTGTGTTAGATAGCTCTGGATCAGTTGGCACATGTTCGCATCGATTCCGGCGGCTTCCATTTTGGCGATGAGTCCATCGTGCCAAACTCGATCGAAGACTCGTTCCACGTCCAGCAGGACGAGACCGGTTGCCTCCTGGAGATTGAAGCCGCTGGTGATGTTTTCTGTCAGTCGTAGCGCTTGGAGTTCCGTGTTGTGCGAGGATCTGAAGCCGAATTGCTCTGGGGGGAGAAGTTGCAGTTCTTCTGCCTGCTTCTCTAGTCGAACGGCGATAGCCTTTTCGACTACTTTGCCCATCGAGGAAACCAGGCTGATGGGCCGGTAGTTCTGGGGCAACTTCCGGTCCTTGCCTGGCTTGGTGAGCATTATAACCTGGGCTTCCCGCCACCGCCGCGGGAAGTGGTTAAGTCTCAGTGGTGAGTTTCAACTTCTAACTTCACTTATATTCCATTTCACGATATGCCATCACATCTTCTAAAACGGATTAGAAAGTGACTCGGTGGTATAAAAGTTTGTGTGACAAAAATGAACATGGTGGAATGAAATTTTGCAAACACCTCGATGCCAGGGATGGATCCAGGGGGTATTCTTCAATCTTAAATCGCCGATATACCCCCTACCAGAGATTGAACACGAATCCTGAGACCCCCCCCCACTTTTTTGAAATATTGACCCCCCAAAAATATACTAAGTGACATATAAATCCGAACACCCAGATTAAATGGTTTTATTTTAATAAAAGTTGGTGAATGTATTTATCTTACTGTAAATAACAAGTGAAAAAATTTTCAGCCTTATCAGTTGGACATTCCGGATTTTATACTGCTTTTTTTTTAATTCACTAACGCTCTAAAAATGAATATTTCAGCCACAGTAAAGAATCAACGTTGGCGGATTTTGGTTCTTGACATCCTTTACGATCGGTTACGATGCGTAGACTACGGAGACCTGTACGATTTCGTCAACTTAGTGAGTTTGGTAGGGGCCGTATAGTGGGACTTCGGGAAGCTGGACTTTCTTTTCGGGCAATTGCAATTAGAGTGCAAAGAAGTGTAGACACTGTGGTTAGGTGTTGTCAGGCATGGCTTCGAGAAGGCCGTACGTAAAGAGCAAGGGGCACTCGACGCCGCCGTAGAACAACAGACCACGAAGATCGCCGCCTAAGACTATTGGCCTTAAGGGACCGTTTCTCCACTACCAGGTCCATTGCCAATGAATGGTTTGCAGAACACGGAAGACCTATTGGCATGCGAAGTGTTTACCGACGAATGAGAAGTTTTGGCTTGTTTTCATACCGGCCACACTGGGTCCTCCCTTTAACTCGAGAACACCGACGTAATCGCCTTGAGTGGTGCAGACACCTGTCACTCTGGGATCAGGAATGGAACAGTATTGTCTTTAGTGACGAGTCTCGATTTGGTTTAGGCATGCACGATGGTCGTGCCAGGGTTAGAAGGCGACGTGGTGAAAGGAGGACTCCACAGTTTTTTGTTGAAAGACATGTTCATCACACTGTTGGAGTTATGGTTTGGGGTGCTATAGCTTATGGTTCCAGGTCACCTTTAATCTTCATCAGAGGTAACATGAACGCGCAGCGTTATATCCACGAAGTTCTAGAACCCCATCTTTTACCCTATCTTGACACCCAAGATAATGCCCGACCACATGTTGCAAGAGTCACAATAGATTTCTTTCAACATAATGATGTCACATTGTTAGCATGGCCACCAAGATCTCCCGACTTATCCCCAATTGAGCACGTGTGGGATATGATGGGTAGGAGATTGCTCAATTTGCAACGTCCACCTCAGACTCTAGAAGCACTTCGAGAGGAGTTGGTGGTTGCCTGGAATGAGGACATTGACCACCTGATCAGAAGCATGCCTAGGCGCGTTGGAGAATGCGTAGCACATCACACATTACTAAAGGTCAAAGGGCTTTAAAGCAGTGCAATCATTTTGAAATTTTTATCATTTACTTATTATGCTTCATCAAGTACTTATACAAAATTTTATTAAAATAAAACCATTTAAACTGGGTGTTCGGATTTATATGTCACTTAGTATATTTTCTAAATCCGAACCTGTTCCATGCGGAACCTTTGCATGCGAATCTGTTATACGAGGGTGGTCTGAGAAGTTTAGATATACACAACACATTCTTTTGAGCTCTGCTATCTTTCTCACTTTAATTCGGCGGTCATCTAGCAACATTTGGTGAACTTTGGCGATGTTGTAGTCAGTGGTTACAGTTTTTGGACGTCCCGAAAGTTCATCGTCTCCCACGCTTTTACGGCCACGTTTAAATTCAGCTGCCCAAATAAATGATGATGCAGAGTCCCCGTAAAATCAAACATTTAATGACAGCTAGATGACATCAACTGACTGTTACATAAAAAAATGCGCGTACAAAATGGCCGAAACCGTGGTGAGTAACTGTCAAGAGATGAACAACGAAATTCGCTAGTTTTTATTTACGATCGCTGCCATCTTCACGTTGAGGTCGGAAGTTATTCAGACCACACTACAAGTACTTAGATTCTAAAAATTGTTTTTTTTTGTTTCAGGCGGGATGGCGGTCGGAGTACACGTGATAAGGGTAACTAGAAGACGTTCAAGGAATTTATTTATGAAATTGTTTGTAGATATAGCGTGTAAGAAAATAATTTTAAACGTGATCTTTGACGACTGGTCGAAAAGTTCTCTGTATGTTTGTATTTATTGTAAATTTTGTAAAGAATACCAAAATCCAGCGATCTTTAGACCAGTCCGTAATGTATAATTATAAGTACAAAAAATGATGAGCGTTTTTGTAATGTACTGTATATAGATGTTAGATTGTTTTAAATAAATCTACGAATTGTAAATAGGACAGATTTGGAAGACAATGTGCAATCTACACTTTACTGTAAGTATTCGGAATTTGCAAGACAGTTTGATCTTTCTCTGTGAGATCTTTTGAATTTTTTTTCAGCCTTATTGTTGAGGCTTCGTGTGATATAACTCAAGTCACTAATCAGTTCAGGTACTAACAAATGCTGAAATGTATTTATTGAACAAAATACGAATTGTCACAATGCAATTACTTAAGTGAATCTACTAGGTATGTCTTAGTACTTGTTACCAAAAAGCTCGATAACGGTAAGGATATTCGTTTAGCTTGAAGTTATACGTTCGTCAGAATCCATCCTAATTTGTACTGAGTACTCGTGGGTTACCCGACAGGCTTGCAATAAAAATAAGATCAGAAGCATTTGTTTCTCTTCCAAAAGCTAGGAATAGTTTGCAGTGATATTTATCGTTTACTCCCGGTTTTCCGAAAACTAACTAATTTAAGACTCATAGAGAATTTTTCGGTGGTAGGAGGACTGTGAATTAAGGGATGAGACCAATTCTTTCTAAATTTTTCTATTCAAATATATACTAAATGCAGCCTTTTCAAAAAAATGTACGGCTCGAAATGCCTTCAACATTTTATCGCCGTATACTTCCATGATAGCAAATGTGTTTACAAGTTTTTTATCAAAATTCAAACAATTTTGGATGTTGGATTTCATATGTCACTTAGCATAATTACAGCTTTACATATAATGTGACCCCAAAAAACAACGACGTTCTGGAGTTTGCTCGAAATACGAAAAACTGTTTCACATAACAAGCCCTACGGACAACCAAATGACTCGATCGAGTTCTAACTTGTAATGAAGACGGACCACATGTTCCCTGTTGACCGTCCAAGTCCGGTGTGTCCAGTGTTGCCAGATTGAACTCCTCTACGTTGCCAGTCTCATCACTTAATCTACAGACCTCGTATGTCCCTAAATGGTAGTTAATTTTGGTCGCAGGACCGTCTAACCGCAAAGTCTGACTTATTTTACTTTCGCTGTAGTGTTTAACACAAGGGACAGTGGCGAGGCTCAAAAAATGCAGAGAACATGACGTTGTGACACGGCAAACGAATCTACGTGCAACTGCCAGTGAACCTTTAGGTGATAATTATTCAACCTGAAAGTTAATTTGTGGCTGATCCGTACAAAAAAACGTGTAATTAAGACCTTATTGCAAGTCTGCTATACCCGCGACGATCTGTAGAAAATTTCTGAAAGAATTGCGAAAGCTTTAGGTTCGGTTTGAATTATAGACTGCGAAATGATGTAAATACATATAACATTGTGAATTGTACGAGAGCCGACCAATTTTTATTATCTTGAAAAATGTTTGCGAATAACATATTTATTGTGTAACAGAACATAGATTTAAAAATGTATGCCCAGTATTTGGCTTTTCTCAACGGATCCAAGAAATTGGAGGAAGCAGTTCCTTGATTAGGAAACCAGATTGATCTAGCACTGCTTTATGGTCGCTGTCTGTTGATACGAACACCTCAAAACCGTTTAACGTAAATTGTTTTTTTTTTTCATTAAGCTAATGTTTCAATGGTACGTACAGCGCTTCGTGGACAAAATTCGCGAATCTTCAGAATCTTATAGGAAACGCACCCATTTCTATAAACATAGTGATAGCAAGAAAGCAAAATGACCTTCGGATTGTAGATATTTCTCTCCAGAATTGGTTGTTAGACTCCTCCACGTGCATAAGTGCAGTTTATCAGCTATCCGATCTGAGGTTTTGGAAAAAACATACTTCGACAAGCTGCTTATTGGTTATGCTGAGTATTACTAAAAGAGGAAAATTACGAAACAGTGTAATCGCAAGCAAACGCAGTTAAAATGTGCTGCAAATTAAAAATACAAAGTTTGAATAATTTTGGTCTGGTCAACAGAAATTTATACACATTCAACTACTACCGAACTTTCTAATTAAAATAGTACGAAAATATCAACCATTATACAAAAGATGTACTATTCTTTGAATAATTTTATTTTTCATTACACTTCTTTTCCAGTGATTCTCAAAAAACTCGTCGACGGCTTCTTTTAGTCCATCATCGGACTCAAAACGGCGTCCATCACGATTTTTGTTTAGTATCCTAAAGAGAAAAAAGCCCGGATTGTATGAAGGTTGGTCTATCTGAACGAAGCTGCATTCCTGCACAATTCCTTTAATTTTGGCAGCAGCACATTGTCCCTTTTGACATGTATTATATGAGAGGGGTTGCCCCTGATCCCCCAAAAAACCGGTGTCATCAATTTTCCAACAAAGGGTCATGCCCGTGTCTTTCTAATGGGTGGACATCCTTGAGGAACCTTCTACTTTTATTCAGTTTCAATCTCAGCATCCCGATGATGCATCCAAGTCACCAAGTGACCTTCTGAAATTTCCAGCCTGCACAATTCTTGTTCTGGTGTCAACAGTCGTGAAACCAACCTGGCTGACACCTTACTCTTGTCCAAATTGTCGTGCTAAATATACTCATGTCATACTAATGATAGAAACTTTTGTTGCGGTTTTGGGTCTTTTCTGAGATCGTCTTCTATGGATTCAGGCCGCTATCAAAATTGTTTGTACCAACATTTTATTATGTAATATGGTGGATTATTCTGTTTCAATGTCAGGATCCCGATGATGGATCCAAGTCAACAAGTGACCTTCTGAAATTTCCAGCCTGCACAATTCTTGTTCTGGTGTCAACAGTCGTGAAACCAACCTGGCTGACACCTTACTCTTGTCCAAATTGTCGTGCTAAATATACTCATGTCATACTAATGATAGAAACTTTTGTTGCGGTTTTGGGTCTTTTCTGAGATCGTCTTCTATGGATTCAGGCCGCTATCAAAACTGTTTGTACCAACATTTTATTATGTAATATGGTGGATTATTCTGTTTCAATGTCAGGATCCCGATGATGCATCCAAGTCAACAAGTGACCTTCTGAAATTTCCAGCCTGCACAATTCTTGTTCTGGTGTCAACAGTTGTGAAACTAACCCGGCTGACACCTTACTCATGTCCAAATTGTCGTGCTAAATATACTCATGTCATACTAATGATAGAAACTTTTGTTGCGGTTTTGGGTCTTTTCTGAGATCGTCTTCTATGGATTCAGGCCGCTATCAAAACTGTTTGTACCAACATTTTATTATGTAATATGGTGGATTATTCTGTTTCAATGTCAGGATACCGATGATGCATCCAAGTCACCAAGTGACCTTCTGAAATTTCCAGCCTGCACAATTCTTGTTCTGGTGTCAACAGTTGTGAAACTAACCCGGCTGACACCTTACTCATGTCCAAATTGTCGTGCTAAATATACTCATGTCATACTAATGATAGAAACTTTTGTTGCGGTTTTGGGTCTTTTCTGAGATCGTCTTCTATGGATTCAGGCCGCTATCAAAACTGTTTGTACCAACATTTTATTATGTAATATGGTGGATTATTCTGTTTCAATGTCAGGATCCCGATGATGCATCCAAGTCAACAAGTGACCTTCTGAAATTTCCAGCCTGCACAATTCTTGTTCTGGTGTCAACAGTTGTGAAACTAACCCGGCTGGCACCTTACTCATGTCCAAATTGTCGTGCTAAATATACTCATGTCATACTAATGATAGAAACTTTTGTTGCGGTTTTGGGTCTTTTCTGAGATCGTCTTCTATGGATTCAGGCCGCTATCAAAACTGTTTGTACCAACATTTTATTATGTAATATGGTGGATTATTCTGTTTCAATGTCAGGATACCGATGATGCATCCAAGTCACCAAGTGACCTTCTGAAATTTCCAGCCTGCACAATTCTTGTTCTGGTGTCAACAGTTGTGAAACTAACCCGGCTGACACCTTACTCATGTCCAAATTGTCGTGCTAAATATACTCATGTCATACTAATGATAGAAACTTTTGTTGCGGTTTTGGGTCTTTTCTGAGATCGTCTTCTATGGATTCAGGCCGCTATCAAAACTGTTTGTACCAACATTTTATTATGTAATATGGTGGATTATTCTGTTTCAATGTCAGGATCCCGATGATGCATCCAAGTCAACAAGTGACCTTCTGAAATTTCCAGCCTGCACAATTCTTGTTCTGGTGTCAACAGTTGTGAAACTAACCCGGCTGACACCTTACTCATGTCCAAATTGTCGTGCTAAATATACTCATGTCATACTAATGATAGAAACTTTTGTTGCGGTTTTGGGTCTTTTCTGAGATCGTCTTCTATGGATTCAGGCCGCTATCAAAACTGTTTGTACCAACATTTTATTATGTAATATGGTGGATTATTCTGTTTCAATGTCAGGATACCGATGATGCATCCAAGTCACCAAGTGACCTTCTGAAATTTCCAGCCTGCACAATTCTTGTTCTGGTGTCAACAGTTGTGAAACTAACCCGGCTGACACCTTACTCATGTCCAAATTGTCGTGCTAAATATACTCATGTCATACTAATGATAGAAACTTTTGTTGCGGTTTTGGGTCTTTTCTGAGATCGTCTTCTATGGATTCAGGCCGCTATCAAAACTGTTTGTACCAACATTTTATTATGTAATATGGTGGATTATTCTGTTTCAATGTCAGGATCCCGATGATGCATCCAAGTCAACAAGTGACCTTCTGAAATTTCCAGCCTGCACAATTCTTGTTCTGGTGTCAACAGTTGTGAAACTAACCCGGCTGACACCTTACTCATGTCCAAATTATCGTGCTAAATATACTCATGTCATACTAATGATAGAAACTTTTGTTGCGGTTTTGGGTCTTTTCTGAGATCGTCTTCTATGGATTCAGGCCGCTATCAAAATTGTTTGTACCAACATTTTATTATGTAATATGGTGGATTATTCTGTTTCAATGTCAGGATCCCGATGATGGATCCAAGTCAACAAGTGACCTTCTGAAATTTCCAGCCTGCACAATTCTTGTTCTGGTGTCAACAGTCGTGAAACCAACCTGGCTGACACCTTACTCTTGTCCAAATTGTCGTGCTAAATATACTCATGTCATACTAATGATAGAAACTTTTGTTGCGGTTTTGGGTCTTTTCTGAGATCGTCTTCTATGGATTCAGGCCGCTATCAAAACTGTTTGTACCAACATTTTATTATGTAATATGGTGGATTATTCTGTTTCAATGTCAGGATCCCGATGATGCATCCAAGTCAACAAGTGACCTTCTGAAATTTCCAGCCTGCACAATTCTTGTTCTGGTGTCAACAGTTGTGAAACTAACCCGGCTGACACCTTACTCATGTCCAAATTGTCGTGCTAAATATACTCATGTCATACTAATGATAGAAACTTTTGTTGCGGTTTTGGGTCTTTTCTGAGATCGTCTTCTATGGATTCAGGCCGCTATCAAAACTGTTTGTACCAACATTTTATTATGTAATATGGTGGATTATTCTGTTTCAATGTCAGGATCCCGATGATGCATCCAAGTCAACAAGTGACCTTCTGAAATTTCCAGCCTGCACAATTCTTGTTCTGGTGTCAACAGTTGTGAAACTAACCCGGCTGACACCTTACTCATGTCCAAATTGTCGTGCTAAATATACTCATGTCATACTAATGATAGAAACTTTTGTTGCGGTTTTGGGTCTTTTCTGAGATCGTCTTCTATGGATTCAGGCCGCTATCAAAACTGTTTGTACCAACATTTTATTATGTAATATGGTGGATTATTCTGTTTCAATGTCAGGATACCGATGATGCATCCAAGTCACCAAGTGACCTTCTGAAATTTCCAGCCTGCACAATTCTTGTTCTGGTGTCAACAGTTGTGAAACTAACCCGGCTGACACCTTACTCATGTCCAAATTGTCGTGCTAAATATACTCATGTCATACTAATGATAGAAACTTTTGTTGCGGTTTTGGGTCTTTTCTGAGATCGTCTTCTATGGATTCAGGCCGCTATCAAAACTGTTTGTACCAACATTTTATTATGTAATATGGTGGATTATTCTGTTTCAATGTCAGGATCCCGATGATGCATCCAAGTCACCAAGTGACTTTCTGAAATTTCCAGCCTACACAATTTTTGTTCCGGTGTCAACAGTCGTGAAACCAACCTGGCTGACACCTTACTTTTGTCCAAATTACCGTGCTAAATATACTCATGTCATACTAATGGTAGAAACCTTTGTTGCTGTTTTGGGTCTCTTCTGAGATCGTCTTCTATGGATTCACGCCGCTATCAAAACTGTTTGTACCAACATTTTATTATGTAATATGGTGGATTATTCTGTTTCAATGTCAGGATCCCGATGATGCATCCAAGTCACCAAGTGACCTTCTGAAATTTCCAGCCTGCACAATTCTTGTTCTGGTGTCAACAGTCGTGAAACCAACCTGGCTGACACCTTACTCTTGTCCAAATTGTCGTGCTAAATATACTCATGTCATACTAATGGTAGAAACTTTTGTTGCTGTTTTGGGTCTCTTCTGATATCGTCTTCTATGGATTCACGCCGCTATCAAAACTGTTTGTACCAACATTTCAGTATGTAATATGGTGATGCATCATCCTCATAGGCGATTCGCTTTATAAATTACTATCAAAGTACACACATTTTACAAGTATCTATGATTAGAACTTATGTCACTATTTTGACATATTAACTTGTGCGTTTTATTTATTTTTCAAGGCTAGGTAGATTTCTTTACTATCCCTCGTATATCTTGAAATACACACACACAGACGTGGATAGAACAAAGCATAATTTGTTACGAATACGATATAAACCTCATAACGTAAATACTCCTGAAGGTTGACTATTTGGCTCGCTTAAAAAATTGTGAACACTGATATCAACCCACCGAACAGTTATCTAGTGCTTATTTGAACATAGCAAAAGGAAAACAGCTTTATGAAACATACATCGATTTTTAATTTTCGTCCATAGGACTAACCAACATTTTAACATTATATCGCCTTCAGGCGTACTAGTAAACGTAGTAAGTTTCAGGATCTATGGTAAATGATAAATAAAATCAATACTTTCAGTATGAGATCTCTGGGCCGCTAGATATTACTTATTTTTCAAAGACATTCAGTAGTGTTTATATTATGTACTTTCAATGCTCGCGTTGGATAATGGTTCTTTTTAGAGATACCAGATGAGAAATGTAGGCACTAAGCTTTTA